AGATTTTTAATTTTTATGCTACGTTTAACAGTCATTAAATTGACATTTCTTCAGTTTAGTTAAAATATTGCACTACAATTTCTAACTGCAAGTTTAATTAATTACGAATAAATGTTGGAAATTGTAGAATAAATTTTTGCCAGTTATATCTGTACCTATACCTCGCATAAAAGTTTCCCAACATATCAAGGTTTTAAAGCTGGCTTAGATTCTGCTACGCGGGAAGCTCCAAAGTTTCACATGCCGAAACTAGTTGGAACAACTTACATTAACTTGATATAGAATGTCATTACAACACCATTATAGCCACGCTCTATTGTTCCGCTTGCGGGGATAGAAAGGAGTCGCCATAAAAGCATTTAATACATAAGTATAATCCACGATTTTGTTAGCTCGTGAATATAGTACCCTCTGTTTTTTCTTGCATCGTTCTTGATTAACAGAATAACAATTGGTTTTGTACAAAAACCATATGCGAACGTGCTTGGCTTTCGTTCTAAAGAATCTCAACTTTATTTTAAGTAAAATTCATTCCGCAGTAAGTTCATACCGAGGGAGAATGTAGAACAACTGCGGAAATAATAAATCACCCATACCTTTTTTGAATAATGCAGACATGCTAGAAGTTAAACTATATGAGAAATGGCCTGTTCACTTTTATGGGTGCTTTTGTAAGCCGTGTAAAAGTTCTTCTACCTAATGTAACACATCATCAAGTAAGTAATAGGTATGGTGAGCACGACATAAATAAATGAAATAAAATATTTATAGACTGTTTTGTTGGTATTTGATGGTAATCCACATGCTTTACTACCACCCTTTGCAGTAGAAGTTTATTATCACTTTATGTAAGGTATTTTGAAAAAGTAGTGCTACCAGTTCAAGGACTGGAAGATCATTAAGGATTAAGGTGTGTTTTTCTTTCCATGGGCATTGGGATTATTGGCTTTTATTTTTTAAATACGGGACGCGAGAGATGTTCTAATTTTTTATTTCTCAATTCTTTTCAAATCACACTATTAAATTAATACTCTCATCTAGGGTGGCCCAAAAGAAAACGAATATTTTTTTTCGTGTCTCTTGTGAAAATATATTAGTTCATCATCATCAGCTCCCTCAAAAAATTAGCTCAAAAAAAAATTTTTTTCGAGGTCGCTCAAGATTTATAAAAATTTCCAAAATCGTCAAAAATTTAATTATTTATTTCTCGTTATTTTATCATTTTCTAGGTTGAAAAAAATCTCGATTCTGAAAATTTCAAATCGATATTTTAATTTTTAAAGGTCACTCATAATTATTTTCACTAGAATAACCAGATAAACTGATATTTGTCCAACTCCAAAGCACACCATACGCCATACTGCCATCCACCACGCCACGGTGGTAAAATCACGCGTTCAAAATAGCGGCGCGCTGAAAAATTTTGATTATTTCGGCTTCTAGTGGTCTGATTTTGATGTTTATTTTTTTTTAAATCGGTGTCTCGCGAGCTGAAAATTCATTTTCAAATGCGAATTGTTGTTAATTATCGACCTATTAACGGATTGATAATTACTACTTTTTAATTTGCAAAGACTTTTCTCGTATTTTTCTTTATTCTATTAATGAATATTACTCAAATTTATATAGTTTTTATCCGTCCATTGTATTCAATTTGTTTAAACATTCAAGATTTGTTCAAACAATAATTACATAAATAAATTTTTAAAATCAAATTATCTTAGAAAAAAAAACAACAATTTAATCAGTTAATGATTTCATTTTATTTTAAATATAAAAAGTTTTATGAAGTTAAGAAATTCTATATTTATTATTCGAGTCTAGCTCGTTTATATACAGCAGTAATTTCGGAAGTTTCATCAGCATCTTCTTCTATTTCTTCATCATCAAATTAGTATATATTATTTGCAGAAACCTCCAGTTAGTGATCTTCCATTTCTTTATCTGAAGATGTCTCCTCGTCAGTCAATTTCTATATCCGCTGATGTTTTGAATGTATCGGTGTTTTTGCATTGACCTTGCCAATTAGTACAATAAATCAGAACACTTCAAACCGTGCTTTATGCAGTGCATAATTTCGAGCATTCTTTAGTGCAGTTACAGCCAATAATTTTCAATAAGTGTTCAGGAAGTAAATGCTCTTTTGTTTGAACGGGCTCTAAGCCTAATTATTGTTTGAACAAATTTTGTATGTTTAAACAAATTGAATACAATGTACGGATAAAAACTATATTAATTTGAGTAATATTCATTAATAGAATAAAGAAAAATACGAGAAAAGTAAAGCAAATTAAAAAGTAGTAATTATCAATACGTTAATAGGTCTATAATTAACAATAATTCGCATTTGAAAATGCGATATTTGGACATTTGAGCTCGCGAGACATCGAATTAAAAAAAAACATCAAAATCGGATGACTAGAAGCCGAGATAATCAAAATTTTTAAGCGCACCGCTATTTTGAACGCGCGATTTTAATTTCGAGTAGACTGGAATAGTCGAGTTGTCAACCCCCCACCACTACCTCCCATACATTTTTCGTGAATTTCATGCCCGGTCCAATAGTTTTAATCGACATTTTATGTGGGTTGCACATGGGCACAAGTTTTGCACTCACTCCCGGAAAGTACTCGGAATGACAAAGGTATTTGTTTAAAAAACAGCCCTCCAAACCTCGTAGTTACGCCACAAATGCCGGCTCTCCACCACGGCTCTCCTAATTAACGAATTGCAATTTTTGCGGACGCATTTTAAAGTTTGAGTGGCCTTTTTTAGGTGATAACATTTTCAAGTATCTAGAAGTCTTAATTCAGGCTCAGTTAAATTTACAAAAATTTGGATTGCAAAATTATGACTCGAAAACTATAGGACCGATTTTAACGAAAATTGGTGTGATGTTTTATTATACCAAAAATACTTTTTTGGCGAAGTATGAAGATCCTACCTATAATATCAATACTTTTAAAAAAACTCGCAAAAATATTGTAATATTTTTCACTTTTTTTGTTGTTTTTGCTATATTTGCAATAATTATGATGTATTTTTTTTATTTGAAAATCATGTGTAAAATTTAATTACGAATCTTTTTTTCCTCTTCAATTTTTCTTTAAATTGAATAGTTTTTTAACTGTGTTGAAAAAAAGAGAAAAAAAATGGAATTTTTCCCAATTTTTTCACTATTTGTTTAAAAATAAGTTTAGCACACGTTTTGAAGCACGCGCATAGTGAAATATATTTTATTATATCATTTTAGAGCCATTAAAGCAAAAATTAGCGATACTGTATAAAACATCCATACATGGGTGTTTTGAAACAGATTCCGCCTGGTCTATAATGGGACGAAGGGAACAGACAAAGACAATGCATCTGAATATGAAAAAGAGTGGACAATGAAGAAATTTACTCGGATTTACGTACAAGTGCACCAAATACGAATTTATATAATTATAATTATATTATTTATATACAGAGTGACCCATTTGAAAGCGGGCCACCCACATAACATTTTTATTTATGGAGCGATTTTGACGAAATTTTTTTTGAAATGTAGAAGGGGGAAAAGTGTATTTTGGGGCCAAGCCCCGTCCAGTTCTTTTTTAAACTAAGGCCTACTAGATCACATTCAGAGGCTGAAAAATCCAGAATCCATATTGGCGATTTTTTTAGAAAAAATCTACGTACGCCACTGGATTCGGCGTCCCCTGAAATGGATCTGTACCAAATTTCATGAAAAAATATTCAACATTAACGATTCTGCAGTTAAATTTCTGTCAAATTGTTTATTATGCATAAAGAAACTTTTTATCAAGTAACCCATGCGATAATAAATCAATCACAACAAATATTTAATAACACGTTTAATAGACATCATTATACCAAAATACAATGAAACGGACAGAAAAATGAACGATAAATTAACATAAAATTTACAAAAAATACAATAAAATAAAATTAACACACATGAATTAAATTAAATTCTGGAATTTTCAACTAAATCTTCATTTAATTGAATGCATTTATTGTATTGTTTTTGAATGTGTGCCATAACATTAGACAATTGATGTGTTGTAATTTCAGCGCATGCCTATCTTCTTCTTTCGCGCAGTTCTTCTGCATTCATTGGACGAGTGTAGTAAACTTTTTCTTTAATGAACCCCCATAAAAAAAATCTAGGAGAGGCAACATTTACAAAAATATTCATTCAATTAAATGGAGATTTAGTTGAAAAATCCAGAATTTAATTTAATTCATGTGTGTTAATTTTATTTTATTGTATTTTTTGTAAATTTTATGTTAATTTCTCGTTCATTTTTCTGTCTGTTTCATTGTATTTTGGTATAATGATGTCTATTAAACGTGTTATTAAATATTTGTTGTGATTGATTTATTATCGCATGGGTTACTAGATAAAAAGTTTCTTTATGCATAATAAACAATTTGACAGCAATTTAGCCGCAGAATCGTTAATGTTGAATATTTTTTCATGAAATTTGGTACAGATCCATTTCAGGGGACGCCGAATCCAGTGGCGTACGCAGATTTTTTCTAAAAAAATCGCTAATATGGATTCTGGATTTTTCAGCCTCTGAATGTGATCTAGTAGGCCTTAGTTTAAAAAAGAACTGGACGGCGCTTGGCCCCAAAATACACTTTTCCCCCCTCTACATTTCAAAAAAAATTTCGTCAAAATCGCTCCATAAATAAAAATGTTATGAGGGTGGCCCGCTTTCAAATGGGTCACTCTGTATATAATAATATATAATTTATATATTTGAATGAAAGTACTCAGTTTTAGTTTAAATATAATCAGAAATGAGTAAAATGATCAAAAAAATGTACTCAATAATTTCACTCAATTCACTCCGAACCTTTATTTATTATTTTCACTCACATCGATTTTTTTACAGTGTATAACACAAATACCCAATTTAATATAAAAAATACCACAAGTAAGTAATTACAGACAATATCTCAACTAATTATGTTTCTGCTTGTTCCAGTTAACGTTCGATAGTTTTACGTTGGGCCGCTTTGTGTCTTTCACGTCGGATGGTTGTCCGGACGGTGCCTTACAAATATCGGAGTCCAATCGGCCCCAGGTGGGGGGATCCTGGTGCGGGACGTCCTGGGGTCCGGCCATCTACTACAGCGAAACCGACAGTGTCACGATCTCCGTCAACCTCTTCCGCCTTTCGAAGATCGAGAACGGCTACAACTTCGACTACCGCATGGAGTACAAGTTTCTGAGGAGGAAGGCTGCTACGGTCCGCTATGGAGGAGGTAAGTCTACCATGTAATTAAAATATACCGAACTGAATTGCCGTTACCAGCAGTACAGAAACTATGAAAGCAAATCCACATCGATCGGTATAAATCGTTGAAATTCGCCGTTTTGGTCCGCGTTCAAGGCGAGGAATAATACTACCAGTATCTGGGATACCGCCATGATCTAGTATTTGATAAACGTACATTTGGATATTGGTTCCATGAATAACTAACAATCACATTCAAAACAAGTGACTGACGACAATAATTTTATGGAGAGTGTATTTTGGCAAACAATAAAAACATTTGAAAATGAATAACAATTGATTGTTATCCATATTAATTAAAACGCCACAAGAGACACTAATATCAATCTCTCATGTTGTATAGACTATTTATTTAATTATTTTTTACATTTTTCAAGTATTAAACAAAAGGTAGTGTGGCTACCCTGTATTTGAATAAAACTTACTTGTACATGCAACATTCCAATATCCAAGAGAGGCATAACCCTCCTATTAGATTTGCATAATATTTTGAGGACCCTCCGTTCTCTCAAGAGATTGGGGTTGTCTTCCCAATATTTTACGTACGTTCTTGCTGTGTAGTCACATAACGGAAGCCGGAAATAAAATAACAGATGACGTACGACATAAATAAAAATTGCTATCCGTTCTATTAAGGAAATCTCCGCTGGGTAACGTCTTTCTCAGGTTGGACTGGGCTTTAAAGGGTGTTTTAAAGGGGAAAAGTAAAGATAAAGATTTATTTTACTCTGAAATATATTTTAATTGTAATTATCTTACACTAGCCGCCACTATCGTTTGAAAAATTTTGATACAAAGGCATCTTCGAAGTTTTACGCCAGACAAAGATGATCCTATGAAGAAATCACATTTTCAAGAAAAAAGCCAGTGACGATTTGAAAACATCGTTGAAATTCTAACAGGGCTACACAAATAAAGAAATACTATATCCTTTCCTTCTGACGAGGATATACGACAAAGTAAAATCGTTTGGTCATCAGTACCCTAAAAAAAAATTATTAATGTTTCAATAAAAATAAGAGAAAATATCTATTTTACAATATACCTACGAATGTAAAAAAAATAGACATCTGCAAAAATGTCTTCAAGAATATACAAAACTTTTTTTAAATCAAACTTACAATTAGTATTGCAACCCAAAACACAACTTTTTGAGCATTTAAGTTTTTTATGCTTACACTTTTATTTCCTTTCTAATGAAATTTTTCTGAAAAAACTGGTATATTACACAGGGCCACAAAATGAAATTGGGACTTACCTTCTTTCAAACCAGTTGACCTTCATGTTTTTGAGGTCGCTGATCACGATCCCGATATAGGCCAATCATTATAGCTTTTTTTCGGAAAAAAAATACTATTATAAGTTTCTCTGCGGAATATTGTTCAGAAACGTGTTACAAACAAAATATCAAAAAATTAACTCGAGACTAGTTGGGAAACTTTGTTAAAACAATGGTCAAAATTATGAAAAAGTGGTTTTTCGACTGGCGTAAAAAAACTGTTATTCATAAAGAAAAAAAGATTTATACAAAAAAGGTAGGTATTAAATAAATCTGTAAAATAAGACAAGTCCGATTAAATTTCGATAATTTGTTTATGCGCAAGAGCTCAAAAATGGTCGAAATTGACCGCTTTTTTCAATTGTTAATAATTAATGAAATTTTCATCGCAGACACTTGTAATTCAGGATTTTTTAAGCTTTTTGCACCCTTAATAAGTGGTAAAAATTTCAGCCCAAAAACTTCATTAGCTTGGCGTTGTAGGAATTTGTTATCTAAGAAGATACTATTTTCAATTCATTTTTCCAAGCTCACAGGCGTTGTAGGGTTTCGATAATTAGTTGTTTTTGTACCCTAAATAGTTGTATTGACATATGCATTTACTGATAATTTAATTTTTCAAATTTAATTTGTTTAAAAATGACTGAAAAAATGTTAATATTTATTACATCGTTAAGCGCGCATGCTAAGCCTCGCCTTCCCCACTCGTTCGCTAGACCAAGTAATAGAACGCATCGCCGCTATGTTCTTTTTCGTAATTAAATAGTTGAATTTACCTAAATGTTAATGTAGGACATGAAAATATAGCTCTTAATGTATACTCTCTCCAAATTTCGGCTCTTAATATTAATAATTAAGGTCATTGCGATTAAATAAATAAAAAAATTTATCTCAGCTTCTAATCAACTTACAACGATTTTTTTTTTAATTCGAAGAAAACTAAAGTAAAGAGGTTACTATTTTATTTTATAATAATTACCTATCTTAACAATTTAATAAATATTAACATTTTTTCAGTCAATTTTAAACAAATTAAATTTGAAAAACTAAATTCTCAGTAAATGCCTATGTCAATACAACTATTTAGGTACAAAAACAACTAATGATCAAAACCCTACAACGCCTGTGAGCTTGGGAAAAATGAATTAAAAATAGCATCTTAGATAACAAATTCCGCCAACGCCAAACCAATGAAGCTTTCGAACTGAAATTTTTACCACTTATTAAGGGTGTAAAAAGCCTCAGAATTACAAGTGTCTGCGATGAAAATTGCATTAATTATTAGTAATTGAAAAAAACGGCAATTTTCGACCATTTTTGAGCTCTTGTGCATAAACATATTATCGGAATTTAATCGAACTTTTTTCATTTTATAGGCTTATTTAATACCTACCTTTTTTGTATAAACTTTTTTTCGCTATGAATAATAGCTTTTTTACGTGAGTCAAAAAACCACTTTTCCATAACTTTGACCACTGTTAAAACAAAGTTTCCCAACTAGCCTCGAGTTGATTTTTTGATATTTTATTTATAACAGGTTTCGGAACAATATTCCGCAGAGAAACTTCTAATAGTATTTTTTTCCCGAAACAGGCTCTTTCATGTCTATAATGACTGGGCTAATATTATAATATAACCCCAGCACGTCTGGATCAAGGTTAAATGAAGGTTAAATCTCGTTTTTTGAATGGTATATCGTTTCTGATCCCGGAATCCGAAGCAGCGAGAAATTTGACGCTCAAATACGTGTTGACCTGTTGATGAAAGTGACCTCTGGAGATTATCTGGAAGTCATTTAAAGGTCGAACCTGAGATTTGAATCTACCGTTTGAAATTTCAGATGTCCTTTACGTTTTTTGGGCAGCTGATCACGAATCTAATGTCCACGTGACCCCAGCGCCTCTAGATCATGGTCAAATAAAGGTCAAATTCCGTTTTTCAAATGATATAACTTTTTTGACCTCGGAATCCGAAACAACGAGAAATTTTACGTCCAAATACGTGTTGGCCGTGTTAGTAAAGGTGACCTCTGGAGGTCATTTAAAGGTCAAATCCAATTTTTGAATCTCACGAGCTCTATGAAATGAGACGTCAGATGTATGACCTTTATGGAAGTTGTGGAGTATCATGGGAACCATAAACTGATGAACTTTGATTTGATCATGAGAGTCATTTCCATGGTAAATCGAAGGTCAAGATCCGTTATTCATAGAATATGCAGTAAAGAGTTATATCATGGATTGATAGCTAGTTCTTGTGTATGCCCCCAGGGCACCTCCACGATCCAGACGCGCTGGGGTCACGTGTACATCGGACTCGTGACCAGCGACTCGAAAAACGTAAAGGTTAACTGGTTCGAGATCCGACGTCTCATTTCGCAGCGGACATTCCAGCCGGTCGGTTCAAATCTCAGATTCGACCTTTAAATTACCTCTAAATGACCTCCAGAGGTCACTTTCACTAACGTCAACACGAATTTGGACGTAAAATTTCCCGCTCTTTCGGAATCCAGGGTCAAAGAAGTTATACCATTAAAAAAACGAAATTTGACCTTCATTTAACCTTGAGCCAGACGTGCTGGGGTTATTCGGATACCGGGATCGTTAACAGCGATGGATTCAAAACCATAAAAGTCAACTGGTCTGAGAGAAAGTAAGCCTCAATTTCATTTTGTGGCCCTGCGTTATTAGCACTACACAGAATTAACCTAGTGATTTCTTTTGTATTAAATAATATTTTCTTCCAATATATTTTGAGTTACAACACTATTATGAAGCTACTAAGTAGACCTACGGAACTCTCAATTTTTTGTTGGAAGCACGATACCACGTTGCAACTTTTTGCTAAAATAATGTACACAATAAGCTGTCAACTTCCACGAGCAATAACGGGGATCTAACGACCAACTGTGTTTGGGGGAACTTTCTCAGATAAGAAACACACCGCTATCGACGGTGTAATTGGAAATTTTAGCGTCGCGGAAATATTTCATGAGACCCTCGGGTATTTCTAATATTAAAACAGTTAAAATTAAGACAGTTACAAATTGTTGTAACCTTTTATACGTAGCGAGACACCCTCGGTACAGCGTCGATCAGGTTTCACCTTGGGGATTCCGGAGTGTCGGTTTTAATCAATCGAGATTCTGCTTTGTTGCATTTTTTCACGTTTAAAGATATTGTCACCGAACCAAAAATTTCGTATTAAATCTAATGTAAGATACATAAGCACAAAATCATCATAGACAGCGAATAACGGCGACATCGCTGTCATCAGTCATCAATTAAATTTTTAGATAGTGACAGTCACATAAATACGAATCGACTGCTGACTCTCAGGCCACGATAAACCATAACTCAGACTATTATTTCAGTAGCAAACCATTTTAGAAAATTCGGTGAATTTTTTTACAAAAAAAGCAATACGACGTTCTACGCCTTCCTAGGAGTCTTACTAGCTGCGGTTTCGAAAAAATTGGATAACAAGAATCTACTAGGAAACGGAGGCGTAGACATGGCGCCCCACGTTGGGCGCCATGTCTACGCCTCCGTTTCCTACTGGATTCTTGTTGCCCGATTTTTTCAAAGCCTCGGCTAGTGAGACTCCTAGGAAGGCGTAGAACTTCGTGCTGCTTTTTTTTTAATCACAAAAACTTTCGAAGATGGATTGATACTAAAATAATAGTCCGAGGTTTGGTTTACCGTGGTCTGATAGTCAGTAGTCGATTCGTATTTATGTGTCTGTCACTATCTTAATTTAATTTATAGTAGGCAACTCTGTAGAAAAAAAAAATAAGTTATATCTTTTATTAACCTAGACATTGGACTTACGCGCACTAGGTGGAAACGGTGTATAACCTTTTCTTATTTCGAATATTTACACTATAACTTCGGAAAAAGACCAACACGAAATTCAACCACCATAAGTTAATTCAATCATTTCTGCTTTACTAAGTTTCCTGTAGGTCTTTGTTGTAAAGTATAACATCATTATTAGAAATAAGAGTAGGAAATATTTTTGTTACATTGTAAGATTTCAATAGGTATTTAAGAAAACTGACCAGCTTGTCTATGTAATTATTTTTTTGGTATAATATTTCACACCAGAGTACATATGTAGTGTAGGATGATTCACAACTTATTAAAAAAACTGATCCATTAAAAGGAGAATCGATATGATAAAAAAAATTATAGTAAAATAGGTATTTATAGAGTTCGGGAGAAATGTTTAAAATTGCTAACAGGCTGGCGTATTATCTTATTTACTCAATATTCTCACAAATTCATATTTTTGATAAAAAATCCTGCAATTTACTAACCGGTAATAAGGTCTTAAGTGGCATTTCAGGCAACACCGGAAGTGTAAATAACGGTAAAAACCTTAGCGGGATTTGCTCGGGGTTGTAACTCACATATTTTAAACCCTTCTAATAGCTGGATGTAGCCTTGGGACTTAACCCTTCGTGCCTTGGGTTTAGGGTGATGTACACATCGCGTTCCTGATATTTACAGCACGTATTCGTCGTTGAAAGCGTGGATTATTATTCCGGGAATAATTTCGTCTTGTCCAGACCAGTCACGGATAGAGTTTGTGTCATAATTAACATTGTACTAGGGAAAATTATAAAAAAATTTGGAAACTGTTAAGAAATAGTGTTAACAATAATCTGTCAGCTGTAAAAATGATATACAGGGTGTTAATGAACTTATGTCAAATATTTTTGCCACATATTTCTAGTGCTACGGTGCAGATCTTCTTCGGCGAGATCTAAAATCATCTCCACTTAAATTTTAATTTGTTTCTTTTTAAATTCCAATATGTATTTTACTACTGGAATTAAATTCTTGGCCGATTAATTTTATATTGAAATTCAAATAAGTATTTATTTTATTATTTTATTAAAAAATCAAGTGACTAATACAAGATTTATTACCACTCAAACAGGATTTAACTAATTGGGTATAATGTTATTAATTTTTTTGGGGCCCTGATTAGGCTTCTATTAACATGCAATCACAATCCAGTTTGCAAGGAATTCCAATTAAAAATGGATTATTAATAAATGTTTGCTTCTGCTCATCGGTGTTCAACAAGAATTCAGTTGAAAATTAAATTTCAGTTTAAATAAGATTAAAAATGAGTTATTTATTGTAGTATCTGGAACAAAAATCCAAATGGGAATGAAATATAACTTGTAGATAGTATCTCAATTGAAATCCAAAAAGAGTCCTGTTGGTATTCGACAATCATAAAATTAGAAATTAAATTTTAATTATAAATTAGACACAAAATGACAATACGATAATTCAATCCTTAATGCAAAACTGAAATACAAAATAATCCATCTGGAAATAAAATTTCGATTGAATATTCCAAGGAATGTATTACCGTAATTCCATTCTTATTCCAATCCAAAGAGAATTTGTAATGAAGCATTATTATTTTCCGATTTTTGTAAGGCCGCTGGCCAGTTATTTATTTAATTAGTTTAATTGGGTGAGAGCAATTAACCGCGAGTCGAGCCGAAACCGTCCGCTGCCCCACTCTGTCGAGGGCCGCGCGCATAGTCCCACCACGACTCCTGCCTAGTCAAGGGGGGATTGGGACAATAAAACCACCGTTCCTGCACGAAGATCCTCAGTTCGCTGCCAGAACTCGAAGACCTCCAACACCAGCCCGAGGACCACCCCGAGGACCTGAACACCGACCAGAGACCGCCATCCGACCCAAGGAGTTAGCCGCCAGAAGCAACCGTCCGGAATAAGTAAGCAAATTGTATTTTCCTATTCTCACTTGTCCTGCTATGGTACAAGTCTGGCCGTTTTGAACTCTGGCAAGACAGTACGACCACGGCGTTGTCGGCGAAGGTTTGGCTGGGTCACCCACCGCCCTCGTTCGACGAACGTTGTTAGTCACATCGACCGAACTGCTGGTTTGGCTGGGTCACCCACCGCCAGTGGAAGACGTTGAGTGCAGGTTCGTACGGCAGCAGCGTTATCGGCGACGGTTTGGCTGGGTCACCCACCGCCCTCGTTCGACAAACGTTGTGAGCCCTTTACTGACACTGCTGGTTTGGCTGGGCCACCCACCGCCAGTAGAAGACGTGAAGGTGTCGAAGTGTACAGCAGCAGCGTTGTCGGCGAAGGTTTGGCTGGGCCACCCACCGCCCAAGCTAGATAAACGCTGTAGGGCACAATAACCGAAACTGCTGGTTTGGCTGGGCCACCCACCGCCAGTAGAAGACGTTGTGTGTCGGCTGTGCAACGACGGATAGACCCCCGAAGTTTGGCTGGGCCACCCACCGCTTCCGGGAAAAGTCTGTCGGCCGCCCCGCATCTGAACTCGCACCTCGTCCAGACTTTGCCTCCTGTTTACCATCAACATCATTTTCCTGATTACCGTTTGCTTATTTGTGCCTGATATAAACCGCTTTGCTTGGCTTTTTCTCCTGGCTGGTCGCATTTCCGCTTAATTTCCGTCGCTTTGCTAGAAACTGCCGCCGATATTTATTTGTAGAATTAGAGTCGCCCGTAATTATTTTTCTGTTTCAGAACCATTGGAAACAATTTATTTATTGCTCTAATTTATTAATCTTATTTTTCCCTTTCTAGCACCGACCGAAATTTAAAACCGAATATTATTCTGGCGTACCGTTTCGTAAAGTCTTAGATTGTTTATTAAATAAACCAAACGCCAAAGACTCCGTTTTCTACCGTACCGATTTTGTGTCCTGATATTTTGACTAATTTGTATTTATTTACAGCTCCGAAAACCGTATCGGCATTTTTAAACCCGTCGTACAAATAATAATTGCTCTAACCCATTTTGTTATTCTTACACCGCTTGTAAAGTATTTTTACATTCCTGAATTTTAGTTAATTATTTATTAATTGTAATTAGAATCTATTTTACTTTTGTTTGTTTGTTACAATAGGCCTTGTTAATATAAAATAAACCTAGTAAATATAATTCCCGTTTGTATTCATTCTTAACGCCGACAAAGTTGATAAAATTCCGATCAATAAAAAAGAGGTCCGCTTATCTTTTTGTGACCTACACTGATAAGACCGTTTATTTTGAAAGGAAAATAACACTACACTCAGAGAACTACTTTGCTTGAAATTAAGAGAAATATAACAGACCCCTGGAATTAAACTTTCTTCACTGCAGCTATCCCGAGTACTTACTCTAAACCGAGGGTAGGTTTCACGTGGAGTTTCCCCCACGAAAACCGATTGGGAAACTGGCGCCCGAGGCAAACCGCACAAAAAGATTTAATCCGGAGTACGTTTCTGTGACGTCACTCACCACCGCCGGCTGCCGACCACCGCCGCCGATAAACTAGTAGTCAAGGGTCGTCATAAAGTAGGCGTCCAGATAGGGACGTCAGTGACGTCAATAAATCTAGTAAATTAAAATTTGCACTTATGAATTAAGATTCCGTTTAGAGTTGGTAGTATACCGGGGGCAGCCACAAGTAACGTCTGAACCGAACCGTCACCACCGCAAATTCAAAACCATATATAAAGGGTGTTACAAAAATTTGGCAACCGAGCAAAGTACGTTACAAATTCACCAAAAAAACCAATAGGAATCCAGTTAGAAACCCAAGTGAAATTTTAAATTCCTATTCCAAATGGAATTCTGTAAGAATTCAGTTGGTTTTAATTGGAATGAAATTGGGATCTAATAAGAAACGATATTTGAATTGCAATTGATAATAAATCGGTTATTATGATACTTGAAATCCAACAATAATCCAACTGGAAATAAATTTTTAATTGTAAATAAGATTCCAAATGACTTATTACTGCAATTCCATTATCATTCCAATTGAATTTCAAAAGGAATTAGTTTCCTGTTATAAAGGAGTTATTATGATAATTGTAATCTCTACTGGAAAATGAATTTCAATTGTAAATGATGACTGAAATTCCATTTGGAATCCACAAAGAATCCATTTGGAAACCAGTAGGAATCTGGATAGAAATCCAAGTAAAAATAAAACGCAAATAAATTACTATTAGTATTAGGTCCTATTCCAAATGAACTAACCAGAATTTAACTGGAACATTATCAGAATTCAGTTGATTTTAATTGGAATTTAGTTTAAATCCAACTGGAACGCATTTGCAGGTAGCCATATCTATTTTACTCAATATAGTAACATAAAACTTTGAATATAATATAACAATTGAACATCAGTGGTGTGCTTTTCTTTAAAATAGTATTAACAGTTGCACTTTGCTGACTCATTAAAGTTTTCCTATTGTTATTTAACGCCTTTTGTTCTGATTGCAGGTCTGCCGTCGCTCTTCCAAAACACAACGGAGCCTTCCGTCGAACCTGAACCGGAATACTACTTAGGTGATTTAATATCGGGCACATATTGTTCCCGAATTTTCAGCGACTGTGATAGGAAACACTGCCGTCTCCAGTCCCCTAATTTCCCCGGAATCTACCCCCGGAACCTCACCTGCTACTACGCCGTGCGCCAGCATGATATACCCCCAGGCAAGTGAGAGGGACTTATCCCCATCTTTTACTAACTGTTTAAGACAGGGCATTGATACGATTTTATGTGGTTTTATATTCACATTTTAGTTAAAACAGATTGCTGTTATGTGATTTTGCGACTTGTTTTTTCACCATGTTTTCTATGCCATTGCAGACTAACCGTTAAACATTATAAAAAAGTGCTTTCAAAAACATATGTTTCTCTAATACAATACAAACTAATGTTACTAATTGTAAGTAAAACTAATTTGTGTTTTAATTTTGATATTTTACAAAGTGTAAATAATAAAAAATTAATAAAAATACTTACTGAGCTGAATATGTGAATAAGTGAGTCTATTTGATATGACAAGTTTCAATTTATCTCCAATGGCAGTAATTCCGACGAAATTTTTGTCCCATACAAGGAAAATCTGACTGTCGGTTCAAGGATTTGACGCGGTATATATTCGATAAACTTGAGAAGTAGATAGCTCAAGGCGATTTTACTTAAATCGACTTGAGAAGGTTATAAAATATTTGGGGATATCAAATATACATGAAATAGTAAAAATATTATGAATTATATATTTCGCTCTACCAGTGCTATTGAAAATATCAATTTAAGATAATGTATGTATGTTATTTTATTTTCGTACACGATTATTTCTCAATAGCTTAAAGAAATAAGAATTTTCAGAAGAATTATTATACGTATATGTATATAAGCGAGTCTATTCTATATTATACAATTATTCAATTCAATCCACACACATTTCAACTTAGTTAATAATATAACTTATACTGCTCAATAAATTCAAATATTTCGATAAATTGAGAAGATGTCCAAATTTATTATGGTTGTTACTAATTTTAGTTTATACAAGATCCCTTAATTCGTCTCCTAAACTTCTGCAAGATCTTCCTTGGCATATACAACAAGTTCATAAGGCTCCTTAAGAAGATACAGTAGCTTGTAGATAACCAGTTTGCCCTAATTTCTTCAATATTGGTTTAAATGTCAATCGTAGTTATAAAAAATTGTAGAAAAATGTGTTAACTGTGACCCACATTTTCACAGACCACATTGATGAAAAAAACGTCAGTTAAACGTATTTAGAAGTATTTTGAGGTCTTCGTAACATTCCTGCGAATTAGAGGTATTTGTCTAAAACTCTGAGATACATTGATTTACTCTAAAACTTTGAAATAATTCCAAAAACTTTAAAATATTTTGAAAATTTCTAAATACATCGCAAAAACTCGCAAACATTGAAGTAGAGCCTCAAAATATACTAAAAACAGTGAAATTGATTCGAAATATGTTGAAAACTTCAAAGTATTTGAAATACAATGGAAAAAATATGAATATTTGGTAATGGGTCAAAAAGACAAACGCCAGTCAAGCCAAAGTCAAAGAAGAAAGTTCAAAAATGAAAGGCATTGATCGGACATCAAAGGTCAATGACTGTGGATCAAAGTCGAAGACCAATGGAGAAAAAATCATTGGCCTGACGAAAGAACAAAGTTTAATGCCAAAGGTCAACGCTTAGAAGTTAAAATTCAAAGATTAGTGATAGGAAGTTAAAAGTCAATGGATTTAGAAATATTTCAATGTAATAATAAGTTTTTAGAAATTTTTAATATACATATTAATCAAATCGAATCAATCAAATCAAATCATTTATTGGTGTCGATACATTAAAATGTTTACACACGCCAAAGAAAGAGAAACACGAAATATACAACATATAAGCAATACTACACTAAAGCTACTAAAAAGCACATTCAGATAAATATAACGTAAACAGCATAAACAAGTAAATATTACGAACATTCATTATATATATAAAAATTGGTCAGCAAAGAACTCATCAAAATTGTAAAACGCTTTTCTCTTAAGAAATTTTCTAATTCTGGCCTTAAAACAGTCTGAATTTAGTGATCGAATCTCAGATGGAAGTCTATTAAAGAATTTAATGCCAAAATAATTTGTGCCATCTCTGGATTTCGCTAATCTATGAAATTTTGACCTAATATTGTGTCTCTCTTGTATGGTGGAAATGAAAATTTTCTTCTCGAACAAATCTATTCTGATTATAGAAGTATTTTCAACAGAATTAGTAATTTTTGAGATACTTGCAGTTTCTAGAAGTTGTCAATGAATTTCTATCACTATTTCGATATATTTTAAACCATTCAACGAATTCTGATAGCCTTTTTTTTGCAAGGATTATTTTTCAATCATCATCTCACCTTTACTGCATTTACCAAGTGAAAAAATATCAAACAGTGGGTTCCAGAAGATACATTTCTATGACACCTTATACTATGAGTCATCAGTAGCGCGTAGCGAATTTATCACTGATATTTCTACAGTTTTTGAAGATATCTAGGTCCAGCCTAGCTGCACGACGAATTATGTTTCAACTAATATTTATTTTCAAATTATTGCATAATTTAATAGACTAGTATTTGGTACACTTAACTTTAAAATACCTAAGGCTTATTCTAGATTTAAAAAACTATTTCCTACAACCTAATTGATATCAAAAAATTCTCTTAATTCTCAGATTTGTGATAGTTTAAATAATCTCCGAGATCACTACGACATATTTCACTGTATACAATAAGTAATACAATAAAAAAAAATAATTTTGATGTTTTTATAAATAACTTGTATCCTGTATTGTATTCGGAATATATAAATATGAATAGAATAAACCATTTGAACTTCTTGTCTTAATTTTGACCAAGAAAACCTTGCAGAAGTTTGGCAGTCGAATTTGGTAACAAATCAAAGTATAAAACTAACTTTCCACAGGCAAACACGCCCTAATAACGGTCCGCCAGCCCAAGGGCCAGCTGATCTCCATCCGCAGCCAGTCAGCGCTCTACGGCACGGCCAGCACCAGAGAACTCAAAGTGTGGGACGCCTGCGACGACGTCCAGGACTACGTGACAGTCTACGACGGCTACACCACCCGGGATCCCGTCATCCTGAAGTTTTGCGGAGGTGGCGAGGCGGTCCCCGAGGCCATCTCCAGCGGGCACGAGTTGCTGGTGGAGTTCTCCACGTCACCCTACGGCACGTTCCTCTACCCCGCCCCCGCCCAGTCTCTCCATGGGTTTCAGCTCGAAGTCGAAGTAAGTGGTCTTGTAGACAGTTGAGGGATCGCAAAACTTATGCTTGGAAGATTTTTAATATGTCCTAAAAGCAAGTTTAATGTGATTTCCATGTAATTTTACATCGACGCTTGCCGTGATTCTCAGATTCCCTTATTGCGTTATCCACAATCGTAATTAGGGTGTCAGATCTGAATCAATTCGAAGCATAAATTTAGATCTCATGTCTGACGTATGCATGTGGATGTGTGATTGACTCTAATACAGTTAAACAATAATTAACTCAACATTCCCTAAAGACAGAATGGCCCAGGAGTATATATCAGGTTTCTTTGAAAACATTGAACTTTTTTAATAAAAAAAAATCATTTTTGAAGTTACAAAACCTTCATCTCTTTTTTTTTAAAGGATTAGCCTATTTTATAAATATAAGCTTTTTTATAAATCACTTTCATTCAGACATAATGAAGATAATGTTAAAACTATAAAAATTTTTAAGTATCAGTATTTTATCAAACTGTTTCAGTATTTAGATATGAATTATAGGAAAATTAGTTTGCCTTAAAATGCACACATAAACACAAATATATTTTTTTACTTGGCTAACAAAAACTTATTGTATTATTCAAATTTATAGTAGATGTCCAAAACCACCACTTTTATTTTCTAAACATAAGTTTACTCTTCGTTTGATGCACTAAAAAACGCGTTCAGGTTCATGTGGTGTTACAATGTTTATTTCATGTTCAACTGGTGCTTACAGCTCATCAGGTGTGTAGAGAAGATTGTTAAATATTTTATTTCCGATATCGCCAAGCAATTAAAAATCTAAAGCTATGAGATCCGGGCTTCGAGCAAGCCACACTAAGGACCCCAAAATGGACCCCTGTGGAACGCTGTGAAACACATATTCATAACCATAAGAGGATACACAATTTGTCTGTTCTTAATTAGGTAAGACTAAATTATTTTTAACGATACATTCCGGAATATAAGAATATAATTTCCTTATAGGAATATAATGAAACACAGTATATAAGAATATAAGAATATAATGTAGTATAACAACCCTAGGTTCGACAAAAAATAAGTAAATGTAGTTGTGGGCAAAAATATGTGATCGTCATAAGGACTACCTACGCTGTATGTATCCATTTTTAATTGACCGGAAGGCGCTGGCTACTAACTTTTTTTGAGGGGATGTATGGTTTAATTATATAAAACAAAAGCAGAGTAAATACACCTAACCTTTATTTACATACAATTCAAATTAAACATGTGACAAATAGAAAGAACAACAAAACATTAACAACCATTAAACATAAAAGGAGAGTGCCAGGCTCACCTAGAGCTCCTGCGGGGAAAGAGCATGGCAGAGAAACCCACGATCGTTGCTCTTACCACCCAAATATAAATACAAAACAACCGCTAACCAAAGGTATAAATTAAGAACCTTTGCTAATGATAAATAAGACCTGTCTCATTTAATGTGTCACTAAATGTCATCTGTTACCTCATATTAGTCATACACACTTCCAAGTAAAACTGAAGAGGTTTGGTGTTAGTTAGCCGGCAGAGCCGGAAGGTACTGGAGTCCCATACGGGAGGCAATCCAGCTATAGTTGAGATTTCGGAAGATCCTTCATAACACTGGAGTCCCATACGGGAGGCAATCGAGCTTAATCCAGATTCGTTCCGCACGGGCGAAAATGTTAGTAAATTCAACAAGGCTCGTATAGACGTATGACATAAAGTGAGCACAAGAAATCAAAGAACAACCTAATCATGATAAAACAAGTTAAATGTGAAACAAAGAAGTCGTTAATGCAATATCTGGGCAGTCACGACAATATACATATTTTAACATGTAATAAATAATGAGCAATCTTTAATAATAATTGTAACAATTTTATATTAGAAAAATATACGCCCCTGAGCGTAAGACAATGAAGGCTAAACATATACAGAATTATTATCATGAAACATCTATATTTTACGAACAACGTAATCATGACAAAAACAAGTTAGATGTGAAACAAAGGAGTCATTATTGTAATGTCTGGGCGCCCAGACAATATATATATTTTAACATGAAATAAATAATGAGCAATCGTTAATAATAATTATAACAATTTTACCTTAGAAAAATATATGCCCTTGAGCATAAAGCAATGGAAGCTAAACATACAAAGAATTATTATCATGAAACATCTATAATCATCACAATCATAAGATTACATAGAACAATTAACAACAAAGTACTTAAAGAATATTACCTGCTAACTAATAACACTTTAAACAATTAACTTTTCACTACTTTGACACACTGCCCGCCGATCGTCTTGCTACCTATCTGCACACTGTTCTCACTTCAACTGCCTATCTTCGACCCTTTAGGCTTCCTTCCAGAATTTCCTACCTAAGTGCCTGTTTTTTGTGCTTCCTTCTACCGACCGTTAATATTACTTTTTCATTGTTATACAACACCTATGTAACAGGTGACGTCGAAGTTGATAAGATAAGTACGGTTTTGCACAATAAGAATACAAGAATACAAGAATACAAGAATATAAGAATATAATTTCCTTATAGGAATATCATGAAACACAGTCAAAAACTATTTTCAGATCGTACAGAATTTCAGAATAGTGCCCGCCCTCTTCAAATTTCTGGACAATGTTTTTTACCGTTTTACATACAGTGGTTATTGTTGTCTATAGTTGTTTCTTTTTTAAATGACAATACGTCAACTATTCCTATTTCTATTATTAGAATATTTAAAAAAGCTATTAAAATCTACTCTTTTTTAATCATGATATATATGACCAATGATATAATCCACTATTGTAATTTTACGTTGTTTTCATAATTGTTTTATTTAAGTTCCATGTGAAATTTCATTAAAGTCGAATGTAATTTTACAAAATATTGATGCAGATAACAATTGTAAATTTAAAGTATGTTCATTCGAGTTGTATGTATCGAGTTTGCTACGAGGTTAAAAAAGTGTTATTATTATCACCTGTATTAATAATTATTATCTCTGTAGTATTCGTAATAGGAATGCATGAATATTCAAGTTAACTTGTGAAATTACTTCAGTAAGAATAAGATACGCTATATCAAATTTGGAGTAAATCTAACTCTAGATTTTGTATGTCCCATACTCATAACAGTACAAATGACTGATTTTACAAGAATCTCATCTATTTTTTCTACAACTTATATTGTTGTAATTTTACTTTTATTCATATTGTTTTTAGAAACCTGCTGCGTAAGACATATTAATAGCAGCGGTTTTAATTTCGCTCTTACCACTGTAGTATTTTCGTTAATATGATGTGAAACTTTACAATAGAATAATTGAGTAAAAGATTTAAATGAACAAACCACGACTAAGAGAAGTTACGTATCCTGAAATGTAATTCAAATTCACTTTATTTGTCAATACAATAACTAACCCCTTCGCAGGCGCCGAGTACACAAGGGAATAACAATCCGACTCCCTTAGTATGACAGATAAATTTAGTGCTTTTTAGCGGAAGTTCGGTACGACAGCATCAGAAAGTTTGTCCCACTATTCGAGTGGAGGAATTCTCAAGGATTCATTATTAATCGCTCCTCCCTTAGCTGAAATTTCTCTGGAGACAAATCCTTCTTAAGGGAAAAAAGTTTCGTAAGAGAAATAGATTAGTTGGATGGTCTTTATTTGCACTGTTTTTAGAAGTCCTCGAAAAGGTAATTGGTTATAAATATTGATATCGGAAAAGTCAAGGAAGTTACTATAAAACTATAAATTCATGAGTAGGTATAATATCAACTGTATCTTATCGTACTATATTAACTTGCTTCATAATCGAATAATTTATTTAAACGAAATCTATTTTATAAGTAATCAATTCGATTATGCCTTTTTACAGATAGTTTCCAAAGGACTAAGTCATAAACTTGGATTTTCGAAGACTAAATTAATCGAGGTGTGGAAACTTGATTAGTAGAAATATTTTTTACAAATGGATTATTTTTTTAATACCTACTATTGAACCAAGAACGACGGTGACAACATTTTTAACATTAAGGCGATGTTTCGCATTGTATTGGCTATGCAAAGACAGCATATTTTTAGCCTATTTTCTCACCCTTGCCAAAGACCTTAAAAAAAATCCTAAAAATATTCTGCATATGTCAAATTATTGGTAATGAAAAATCAAGATGACCATATTTTTTTTTTGTTTTTCGAAAAATGTCGAATATCACCCCTAATTAGAGGTCATCATATCAAATATGATGACGCAAAACTGAAATATATGAATAATATCAATAAGAATAAAATATTTTTTCTATAAAATAAAATCTTACAAATAGGAAATTATTTATTTTCATGATTAATGAGGTAAATTGTAAGTCCACCCTTAAATTCGCTCCATTCCATAAATAAGGAAAAAATAAAAAATTACTTGAAAAATCTACGAAAAAGTTCAAGGATATTCTAAATTATTAGAAATTCAAATCGTGTACTTCTCACTAGTATCTATAAGAAATCCACCCCTGTAACGAAGGGGTGAACTACCCCCGAACGTGATAACATACGAAAATATCATAGCGATATAAAAAAAACTGTCGAATATTTTATAATAGATCTTACTTTTCTGATCAGAAAGATTAAGCTGACTTGACCTAATTATTCCAAATTTTTTTTATAAAAATCAACCCCTAAACATAAAGAAATAAAAAATATTTGAAAAATCTTGATTTTTCAAGTAATTTTTGATTTTCTCCTTATTTAGGGGATTATTTAAGCCCCTTAGCGAATTTAAGGGTTGACTTTCAACTATATCACACCCTCATTATTCATGAAAATAAATTATTTTCTATTTGCAAGATTTTATTTTATAGAAAAAATATAATAAGAATTGCTTTTATTCTTATTGATATTATTCATACATTTCAGTTTTGCGTCATCATATCAACCCCTAATTAGGAGTGATTTTCGACATTTTTCGAAAAACTCAAAAATATGC